TCCCTGGCAATGTGATATACAATATGTGCATTATCCCCATCATCAGGATCAGATGCCCTAACTGAAAATAACGGTGCTGCTAGGTCATTATTTTCAGTAATATAGAATGTATATGGACTGAGTGAAAACTGAGGTCTGTTATCGTTCACATCTGATACAACCACAGCTATTGTCTTTTCAGATGAGAGTGATGGCTCACCAGTGTCCTTTGCAACAACTGTGAGTCCATAGAAAGACTTTTCTTCTCTGTCCAGCAGTGATTTAGTCACTATGGCATACATATTGTCTTGCAAAGATGGAGATATAGCGAAAGGAACGGCCTCACGTATGAAACAGGAAACTTTTCCATTGGGGCCTGAATCCAAATCATTCACACTGATCAAAGCTACTGTTGTTCCAGTTCTACAATCCTCAGGAACTGATTTGGAAAATGATGTCACTTCAATCTCGGGAGCGTTATCGTTAAGGTCGATTATCTTTATGATCACAGTTTTGTCCGTGGATAAAGGGACAGTGCCCTTATCGGAGGCTTGTATGTCAATTTCATAGTTTTGATTTTCTTCGAAATCAATTTCACCGGTCACTTTAATTTCGCCTGTCTTTGAGTCAATGTAAAATAGTTTTTGCAAATTAACATCCACTTCTTTACCAAATGAGTAAACAATTTCGCCGTTTGCGCCCTCATCCAAATCTGTCGCATTAACCTGAATAGCCAGTGTCCCAGGGGGCGCATTTTCATTTAACACCGCAGAATACACATCTTGTGTAAAAACTGGCCAGTTGTCATTAACATCAAGTACTTCAATCAGTATTTCTATTGTTCCGGACCTCGCTGGCTTCCCACCATCAACAGCTGTAAGCAGCAGCCTGTGTTCTCTCATAGCCTCCCTGTCTAACTGCTTCTGTAAAACCAGAAAGGGCATCTTACGGTCTTCGCCTCGCTCCTTAACTTCCAAACGAAAGTGATCATTGTGACTTAGTTTATACTGCTGTACAGAAAACTGACTACCGTCTGGGTCCCGTGCAGTTTGAAGCTGAAATCTCGCTCCCGGTAATGTTGATTCAAATATTTCAAGTCGTTTCTCTTTCTCTGGAAATACGGGGGAATGATCGTTTACGTCCAGCACCTCTATGGCCACGTAATGGATCTCCAGGGGGTTTTCAAGCACGGTTTTAAGGTTTATTATACAAGCGTTGCTTCGTTCGCAGATCTCCTCCCTGTCCACTTTCCTGCTGACATACAGGATACCATCGTCTTGATTCAAATGAAAAAGAGGCTCCGTTGAGGTGCCAACAATGCGATACTCCCTCTCTTTAAGCGTAACCTTGTCGATTCCCAAGTCTTTTGCAATGTTTCCGACAACACTTCCTTCTTTCACCTCTTCAGAGATCGAGTACCTGATCTGAGCCGCAGCTTCGCTCCAAAACATGACCAAAGCCACCATGTACGCGACGCATCTCCGTCGCTCGACCCACGCGTGCCGTCCGCTTTGTTCCATTATGTACAAAAAATAATAATCCAAATAATTCCGGTGTATTTTACTGTATGGTTACGAAACAGTAGTCAGTCGTATTCCTTTTCCAGTCACGCCCCATCGCTAAAACAACGCTGGTGACAACAAAAGCGAGTTTTGTGTTTAAGCCCGCAACCCGAAATGCCTAAATACAGGGTTGGACCTAATGGTGATGACGACAAAACGAAAAAATTCTAGAGACATCATCTGCTTTTATACCGACACCATGCGATGCACAACGTTATTGCAGCACTGTATATCCAAAAAGTATATGCAATTCAAACAATAAAGCACTGAAAAAACGCAACAATCAGCCTATTATTAGTATTGTATGCTATAAATGAGGTCTGTTCATAAATCAGTTTTTTAAACAAGTCGATCAGACTAGAAAACTATTGTTTCAAAGAATTTACTCAGCATATAAATTCTTATGGCTGCTGCACTTCATACGTTTTAAAGAACAACTTTCAGCACCACGGACAGCAACACTGCCTTCCGCAGCCAGGCGCGTCTTCACTGTTTCCACTGCAAACATTGTCACACAATTTCTGCACATTTGAGCTTCATGGAAAACTGCAAAACCTGCGCTGTAAATCTACAACTATCCAGCAACAAGATGACAACTTTACGTGTATTCAAAAGGACACGAGAATGATGTCAGCAAGAGAGAACAGAGATGCGGCATTTTACACATCAAAAATTATGCCCCTATTCCAAAAGCAAATGACCTGGTTGCGTTCATGGTTCTTACAAGCTGCGACAATGAATTTGGCAATAATCAGTGATGGCCAGTAAACCCAGTAATTTAATTAACTCTGCCAGTCAGTGACAGCTGCCACTTTTTGTTGAGCAACATCCTCCAGTTTATTCTTCATCTCAATGAATAAGTGGATTATTCATTTTGTTTAGTTGAAAGGAACATTAGTTTTGACTCAGTTCTTTTTGACGAAAAGCACAAATGTAATACTACTTAAAACATACTTTTCCATATGTTAAATAATGTATGCAATTATCACAGTAATACTCAAAATAAAATATTAATTTGTTGAAATTTTGAATGCAGTTTGCAATAAAGAAAGGAAATAATCATTTCTTCAGACAATTTGATCATTTGATTTTCAACTAAATAGATTGAGGTGCCAACAAAAGACACTTACTGCAGCCTAATGTGTAGTTTGCTAATCAATTACCAGTCTGCTCTGTTACAGACCCAACTATTCCACAATCTGTTACCCAACGATTTAAATCATCAGTCTAATTAGCACACAACTTCCTAAATTCTCTCAGTAATTAATATATACACTTCTGGTTTATTTCGGTTTTCAACGATTTTGAAAAAGTGATGTTTCTGTATTTTATGTACAGGAAAATCAATAGGATCTAGGCCTCATATGTGACTACCATTTATACCAGAACTGCTTTTAAATGAATTGACATTTCTTACCTCTTCAGATGTACGTCTCCTGTCAGGGAGCACTAGTGTATTTGCATGACTTCCAGGTACTATAGTAGATCCTATACTCATCCTGGGTCCAACTAACATGTAGCGTTTGTCTCCAGATCTGTACTGGATGCTGTGACACAGTGTCCCATCATAATTAGTCTCTTGCAGATATTTAGAAGTATAGTCTGTGGATTTGGAGCACTGCATTGCAATCAGCACAATGATGCTGATGAGAAAAAGTACAGAAACTGAGCCCAAAGTTATCATGAGATAAAAAGTCACATTGTCGTCATCATCAACTTTTGCTGCACTTTTGACATCAGAAGCTGCAAAAGCCTCTTTGGGCTCCACAAGTTTGACAATGACAGTAGCTGTAGCTGAGAGTGAAACGTTTCCATTGTCTTTGACCAGTATGACCAGTTTGTGCTCAGCCTCGTCTGTCTCTGTGAATGAGCGAAGTGTTCTGATCTGTCCTGTATATCGGTCCAGACCAAAGAGACTGTGGTCAGTGAGTTCCTGCAGTGAGAAGAGCAACCATCCGTTATATCCTATATCAGCGTCATAGGCTCTGACTTTGGTGACCAAGTGTCCTGCGTTGACATTGCGGGGAATCTCCTCCACACCTTCAGCAGAGCCGTTGGAGCTGAGTGGATACAGGATGACTGGAGCGTTGTCGTTCTGATCCAGAATGAACACGTTGACTGTGACGTTGCTGCTGAGTGACGGAGCTCCAGAATCTGTGGCAACCACTTGGAACTGGAACGTTTTCAGTGTTTCAAAGTCAAAACTTTTCAGCGCTGTTATGTGTCCATTATCAGAGTTTATGTTTAGAAATGAAGTGACTTTATTTTCTTCACTTCCATCTCTGACAATATGATAAGAAATGAGAGCATTGTCATTCTCATCACGATCAGAAGCTTTCACAGAAAACACTGAGGCTCCTGGATCATTCCCCTCAGTGACATAGAAAGTATATGGACTGAGTGAAAACTCTGGACTGTTGTCATTCACATCTGACACCACAACACTGATTGTCTTTTCAGATGACAGTGATGGCTGACCAGCATCTTTTGCTGCTACTGTTATGATATATTGTGACTTTTTCTCTCTGTCCAGAGGAGATTTGGTCACTAGAGAATACATTTTGTCCTGTAAGGATGGTGATAAACCAAATGGAACATCCTCACCTATGGTGCAAATAACTTTTCCGTTCAGACCAGAGTCCAAGTCATTTACACTGATAAGAGCAACAGTAGTTCCAGGTCTGGAATCTTCAGGTATAGAACTGGAAAATGAGGTAACCTCAATCTCAGGTGCATTATCATTCATGTCAACTATTTTAATGAGGACACTTTTTTGTGTGGATAGTGGAGCGAGACCTTTATCTGAGGCTTGGATTTCAATTTCATATTTGTCCTTTTCCTCATAGTCTATCAATCCTTTAACAGTTATCGCACCTGTTGTTGGGTTTATTTCAAAAAGCTTAAAAACTTTACGATTCACACTATTGCTGAATGAATAAACTACATCCCCGTTCGGGCCATCATCTAAATCAGTTGCATTTACCTGAATGACTGTGGTGCCAACTGGAGCATTTTCATCAAGCATCACTGAGTAAACATCTTTAAAAAAGACTGGTGCGTTGTCATTTACATCCAGAACGTTTACTAGAATGGTCATATCGCCAGATTTCGGAGGTTTACCTCCATCTAGTGCTGTCAATATGAGTAAGTGGCTCCTTGACATTTCCCTGTCTAAAGACTTTTGGACAATCAATACAGGTATTTTGCCATCATCTCCTTTATCTTTCACTTCCAAACGAAAGTGGTCATTAGAGCTGAGCTTGTACTGCTGAATAGAGAAAGGACCTCCGTCTGGATCCCGTGCTGGTTGTAGCGGAATACGTGCTCCTGGCAACAGGGATTCGGAAATCTCTAACGTCGTCTCTTTCTCTGGGAAAGTGGGCGAATGATCATTTATATCCAGCACTTCTACACCAACATAGTGGACTTCCAACGGGTTTTCTAGCACGGTTTTTAGATTTATCACGCATGTACTGGTCCGTTCACAAACCTCTTCCCTGTCGATCTTTCGGCTCACATACAGAACGCCGTCGTTCTGATCCACATGAAAAAGAGGATCTGCCGCACTCGTAACAATCCGATACTTCCTGTCTTTCAGAGTGCTTTTATCCAATCCCAGATCTTTTGCTACATTTCCAACCACGGTACCTTCTTTCACTTCCTCAGAAATGGAATATCTCAACTGCGCCGAGGCCACAGTCCACAAAAGCACGGCGACCACGCATCTCATCCACCGTCCTCTCGCTTTTTTTGGCTCGCACTCCCTTTGTTCCATGATCAAAACAAAACGTGTCAATTCCTCACGTGATTAATAATGGCATCCGAAGAAAGTAGTCCAACATGCTCTAGTATGAAAACGTGCAGGCTCTTTCAAATATATTAAAAATACGGAGCAACATTTAAAAAGACTGCGGCCATCCACCAAGCGATTCTGGTCGTACTGAACTGTGTACGACAAAGAGGTGGAACCAAAATGTGGTGACGACAAGCTAAAGGCTTTATTTTAACAGCACACTGACACCATGCGATTTTGTTGTTCACTACAACAGAATCTATAACTTTATATTGTATTTTTTTTAGTATTAATATATACAAATATGAGCGGTTTTACATAATGAATCAAGACGTTGGCGCAAAACCTCACTACCATGGACAGCGACTAAAGGCAGTTATCATTCGGCCCAGAAACATGTCGTCATATTACAATACAGACGCTGGGAAAGAAAAGTTTGCATCTGCATGAAAGTGCAGAATGTTTGACACTGTGCAAACTGTTATTTATTAAATCTAAGCTGTAATAGTGACTTGTTTATCAGAGCAAAGTGAAAAAAGCAAACGAATGAATGAGTCGGCATAAACGTTAACCTCAAGTATGTGTACAATGTACTCTTGGTTAATAATAGTAAAATTCGTGTTATTGTAGTTACTACTATGCATAACAAGACGTATAGCACTATCATATTTGCAACTCTAAACCACAGGTTGCCAGTCATGTGTCCTACTACAGTTGGATCCAGGTCATGTTTGCAAATGAGAACTGGTTCTCAAACATTTTTACCTGGTAAAATAAAGGTCAAAAAAACAAAAACAAAAACAAAAACAAATGAACAGTCGGCAGGCGGTATAGATAGGATATATGGGCCACTGAGATTATTATTGAATATTAGGCTTTCACAAAAAATGCCTTACCTCTTCAGATGTCCTCCTCCTGTCAGGGAGCACTAGAGTATTTGCATGACTTCCAGGTACTATAGTAGATCCTATACTCATCCTGGGTCCAACTAACATGTAGCGTTTGTC